TGTGTGTTTGTCTGTTGTTTGGTGTGTACAATACAAGCTAAAAGCATTTGCCATTTAGTGTAAAGTGACGATATAACTTGTACACTTAAGCCTCGATAGACAAGATAATACGCAGAGTCTAAAAGACGTGCATGAAAGCACACAGGCGTGGATAGAAAGTAACACACTTGAACGAGCGCGTTCGAGAAGCACGCGAGGCTCGCTGGGTACGAAAGCAGGACATATTCCAATCGTTTATTGCTATAAGTATACCCCTTAAATCAACTACCGAGCGTAGCTGTTTAAAGTAACATTGTCATAACGCGATGTTTCGTGTACTATATCTGGCCTTCTAATATCTTTAAATGTATAGTCTATTCCCTTTATAAGTAATAAAAAGCTGCGATCTCTGAAAATAGTTTGACGATTAAAATGAATAACGTGTCAATAAAACGAATCCTATTTCGAAAGCGCGTATTAATTACAGCACAATATATATTTTCCTGCTGTGCCGGCTGGTTGCTTGCTCACGATAGCTGTATATATGCAGTCTCAATTGAGGTATTTGCGACATCTGCGGGAGCCGCAGGTACATGGAATCTTGATATCCTCGAAAGGGAATTTGTAGTCGTACGTCAACTCTTCTCCTTGGGTAATGCGACGCAGAGCGAAGATCAAAATGTGTTTCTTACCTAGGATGTCCACCACTCGCGAGTAACAGTTTGGCTGAAATGGCACAGACCAGTCCCCAGTTAGGAAATTATCATTCGTTTCTTCGAGCAGTAAACAACAACGAGAGCGAGAGCGAGAGCGAGTGCAATACAGATACAATACCTCGCACGAGTGATTAATGAATCTGGCTGCGTTCCCCTTCATCGTCGCGTCCACGACCAGATGATCGTCGATCTTGAACATGTAGCATCCTATGTTCTTGCTGTCGTAGTATTTTTCTCGCTTGTCGGTCAACGACGCTCGAATCACCTACGAACAATGTTTTTTGTTTCATCACTCGAGAGATCGTGAAAGAAATTGTACGGGTCAAGGTGTGCCTTGAGTAGGTTCGTAACAGGTTTTTAGGGCAAATGGTAGCCTTCGAAACATGCGAAAAACAAACGGAGGGCTCGAGAAATTATATAGTTTCAAAGTTAGAACGCACCCGGGAATTATTGATTTTTCGAGACATTCTATACATTCTTTTCTAAACATTCTATATTCTATCGTAGTAATGATAAGACAATAAGTTCTCACGTACCTCGCCGGCATACTCGATGACCATCTCTCCAGCTTCGATGTCTCTCAGGCAAAATAAACCTCTGCCGTGTATGTGAGAGTGATAGACGCCGACCGACTCTTTCGACGTTTCTTTCAGTATTCTGAAGCGCATCGCCATTGGCAAATTGGTACTCGCCACTCGTCTGAAATAACGCGAGAATAAGAATCATCTTTCTCTACGATGCGATCTAAACTAACTTGGCAACTTGAA